ATGGATGGTGCCGCGTACAAAAAATTAGTATTATTTCCTGAATTCTTTCTTTATAGAAATTATTAAAATTGACAAATTTTTTTTTTGTCAGCGGTCAAAGGTTTTTGAGTTACGTATCTTTAACTAATTATCTCTCCAGTTCGATTAAAAATAAGTCATTCATGTTAGGATTAAGCCATTCATGAGAGCTCATGACCTAATTTCAAAGAGTTATTAAAATTCAAACTCATGATGTCTTTAATTAAACATCGTCCCTATTACTACTTGGACTACATCTTGGGATTATATTGACAACTGCTAACACTATTTAAGTTAAATTAATAGAAAAATTTGATGAATTCGAATCAAAATCGCGTTTATTATCCAAATCCATTTTAATAAAAAGATCTAATTAAAATATTGGTAAATTATTTTTTGGCACTATACTTTTTTTTTCATCCAATGAATCAAACATGTGTAAACTTTTCTTATTTTATTATTTCACTTTATATGGCCACAAGGCATTTTCAATATATAATCGAAAAAAATTTTGGTTGTTAAAGGCTTGTCCCTTAATAAATAAATTATTATGAGACAAACCGAAGTATACGCGATTTATATATGACATTATTATGTAACATGAAAGTTCACTATACATAATCATAAATGAGTTTAATATAATAGAACAATTTCGAACATAACACGATTTAGACAAAATCTAAATTTGATACGATACAAACCTGATTATACATATGACCATTGCTGAGTTAGATTTGAAGAGAACAAATTTTCAAATAATCACAATTTAAATACAATAAAAATCACAAAATTGGTTTTTTTAGTTCTAAAGTGGAAGTTTATATTACTAAATTTATTGTCTTTATTTATGTTTATGACTCTATTGTCTTGAACATTACAAAATTGTTGTCATTGTCTCTTTATGATTCGTGTCTTGCTATTCGGGGTGGGTATGATTATGATATGAGATTTTTGATATTGTTTAATGTGACTCACAAGAATTTTATTGTATTGCGTGTATGGCTATGCACACTTTTTCTATTTGTCATTTTTGGTGTATTTTATTCGTTTATTAAAAAAGGAAATATTAATCTAGTGATAATATGTGTACTCACAATAACTTCAATGATTTAGGCATTGTTAGGAAAACTCGACATGAAATATACAAAAATTCTTGCTATCTTGGTTTAAGGAGCTTAAAACACTTTCAAGGTTCATTTTTCATAACCTTTAAAATCACAAGAGTTCGAATAGTTCAGTGATATAAAATTAACTTAAGACGAAATTGGGTATGTGTAGGTACAAGAAATTTAGGCCATGTTTAGTTTGTGATCTGGAAACAATTTTTTGTTTTCAAAATTTCAAAAACACCAAAAACTTGTTTGTTTAGTATTTTTGTTTTCAAATTTTTGGGAAAAAAAATGTGATTTGAGTCAAAGAAACAGAAAACAAGGAGAAAAATTTTGGACTTTATTGAGATCTATCCTTCGTGTCCCCTTAGCAATAAATTTCTTCATTCCTTTTTTTTTTTCTTCTTCCTCTCTCTCTCCAGACATCTTCTTCTCCAATGTCTCTCTCTCTCTTCTTCTTCAGATTTGAAGACGCTGGAGCACCGAAGCACAAATCTCAAATCTAAAGATATTGGATCTTAAAATATGAGTATATGTATAGTGTGTGTATTGTATATATATATATATGGGTATATATATATTTTTTAAAGTTTGATTTATTGATTTTTTTTTATAAAATTGTCAATCTAAAAATAACTTTCTTATATTTTTTTATTAATGTTTAAATTACTGTTCAAACATATATTTGAGCTGTCCAAACATGTTTTATTATTTTCTGTACTATACAATTGTTTTTGAAATTATCTAACCAAACAAGTTTTTTATCTCAAAAAATATTAAAACCACTTTTTTAAAACACTTCTAAAAAATTGTTTTCGAATACTATTTTTTGAAACGCAAATCAAACAGGTCTTACTTTGCAGAAATATGGGCCAACATTTGAGAGATTCCTCGTTTTTTGAAAAAAAAAAAAAAAAACCCTTTACGGCCATAACACATAGAGGCTACGTCCTTAGCCACAAAACACGATAAATGATCTATACATGCAATGGTTTTCATAACTCGAGCTAAAATTTAGTTTCACATTTTTTCTGTCCAAACTTATTATACTTCTCAAAACTTAATTGCATGTATAGTTTACTAAGATATGCATAGATCATGTTTATAAAATAATAATCTAGATACTTTACTTTCTTCTTCCAAAAAAAAAACGTAATCAAGTGATTCGATACAACTTTTGACTCCCTTAAGTCACAGGTTCAGCCGCTTAGCTTCCCCTGCTGCTACCTTCCTATACAACTGTCCTGATTAATCTGTGCTTCTCTTTCATAGTTTACCTGTAAAACCACCAATAAAGCTAAACTTTATACCTGGTGTTCTGTTCACCAATGTGATAAAGCTCTATGCCATTCTACAAAGAAAGTTGTTTTTGATGCTAATAGGCAGCAACTCTCCCTGTTTCAGGCAACTGTTGTACCACTAGGATGGGCAGTTGAGACCACTAACTTCATGGTGATTGACTTCCTTGACTGTGTATCAGATAATTTACCTAAAATACAAAACGAAAAATGCATTTCAGAAAGCACAAAGTATCAGCAGAGCAAATAGGATATACGAAAGAAGGGGAAGAATCCATTTCATAATCAACTATGTATTTCAGTTCATCCAGAAATCTGTAGAGTTGATTAGGAGAATACAAAAACAATTTTTTCATATCTCATGGAGGCTTCTAACGTCCTATTCACCAATCTTGCACAAAACTTTAGAAAATATTACTAGTAACTGCTTTTACAAACATCATTAAGTCATCACTGCAACCATACACCATGATCTCAAATTTACAATCCTGTTTTGATCTTCTGTCTTGGGAAAGTTTTCGCAGCAGAAGCTATCACACCCAGTGAGAGTGGTTGTCAAAGTCTGGAGGAGCAAAAAACGTTATCTGTCACCATACCGAAAGCAGGTCCTTGAAAGCTTCCATATTTTCATCAACCATCCACAGTCGTCAAATTTTGAATCTATGGTTCTTTTTTTACCTGTTGTTTCTAATTCCTCTGAGGTTCCGGTTGGAAACAAACTCTTCACGGGTGGTTGAGGATTGCCTGTTTCTGGTGCTGCATCCACAACCCGATTCACCATTGCCAACACCTCACTCATCTTTGGCCGCGACTTTGGGTTTCTGGTCAAACATCGATTGGCTACAAGTGATAACTTGTGGGCTGACTTCCAAATTTGCTTCCCTTCAAGCTTTGGGTCCAATATCTGCTGAAACTTTTTTGCATCTGATAAATATGGCTTTACCCAATCCAAGAGCTTCTGCTCACCCCTGGGGCGATTTCGGTCCAATGGGCGCCTACCCGTGATGAGTTCGTAAATGAAGACCCCATAGCTCCATACATCATTTTTACATGTGAGGCGCCCCGTTTGGACGTATTCAGGAGCCGCATAACCCATGGTCCCTACAACCTAATAATTTTTCATGTTACAAGAACGTAAGAGTAAGAGGGAGTGATATAATAAATATTTGATTAAATTGATTTTCAAGGCATTATGCATTTGGACAGTGCGAGGTTTGGAGAAAAATGAAATGTTTTTAGTCGTATCGTTTAGTGTGAACCTAACACCACATGCGAACTCTTGAAGCACCTTGTTTCATATGTATGTGGTTTGCTTAAAATCAAAGACAAGTAATTAATGGGTCATTACTTGGAAAATTACAAAGCGGACCGCTGAATCAGATAATTTTTGACCACTTGAGCTTATTTTTTCACTGAGATGATACCAAATAAGTGCAAGAATAGATCTCCCAACAGATGATCCAGAGACCATTACGAGAGAACAGGTAAAGAGCATTAGATAATAAAGATATGTGAACCTAATGCAGTCCACAGACATACAGTTGGAAATGAAAGAGGAATACAGAAATTTGATATCATTATTGATAAGGTCCCCACCTTCAGGGAAAAAGATTCAGAGCTCATGAGGCACTACATGACAGTGCCAGTTGGTGCTCACACCCAATGATAAATTGTCATAACACTTGCTTGTCACACACACATTGATTTTTTCAAAATATATTCTCACTACTTCACAAGTGACAACAATCGATTGGGAATGTACAATATTTTATAGGTAATATGCACTACATGTCACTGCCATGTGGTGCCTTCAGTGCAAAGATCTTAGTAACCCTATTCAGACTTAATTAATAGAATGTGGCCTCATATTATACCACATTTTTTCTGTATGTGGAACAATTGCATAGAATAATGCAAAAATCTCTTGATTATTTAGGAATATTTGAACTGCAATTTCAATTGGGTATCTCTTCGCCTTGGTTTCAGAGACACATCAAGATGTGGATTGCAGACCCAACTTTCACATGTTATCAGTTTACTAGTTATAACCCGTGCCTTCAGAACATAAAATTCGAGCCCCCAAAAAATTGAGCTTACTATATTAAATAATAATTTTTATTTCCTTTATTTTTTTGATTACATTATTCAAAATTTATTTTTACCTATTATTTTCTTATAAATATTGACAAAAATTTCTCAAAATACGTAATTCAATAAAAAATTTTCAACATGTGTATACTATCATGTGTGAGTAATGTCTAAAATAAAAATTATGTTAAACTACAAATTAATCAAATATTAAATGATTAAACATGTGATAAAAATTAGTGATGTGATGGTTTTAGGGAAAAAAATGTGTAGGGAATAAAATTCAACTTCCTATGTGTTTTATTATATAGACGTTAAGGATTTTAAAATGCATATCAGTTCAAAGTGCATATATAAAGGGTAAAATGATATTGTTTTGTGTAAGCATACCGCAGTTGAGACATGGGTTAGGCCTTCTGGAGGACCCAACCTAGCCAATCCAAAGTCTGACAGATTAGCATTCCAATGCTCATCTAACAGTATGTTCGAAGATTTGAAGTCTCTGAAAATGATCTGCAATATATGTAAAAGAAAATGTTAGTCTCGTAGACGTTAGCAGACTCACAACCCACAACATTTAGTTCATTATGCAACACAGTTTCTGCATCATTCTTCAATTTACGCACAAGTGTATCTGTGTGTGCACTTGCACGTGTGGGAGGACGTTGAGAGAGAGAGACAGTGAAAGACAGAGAATTATATGCCCTATGCTTGCTCTTAGTGAATAGTAACTGCCATTTGAAGATTTGAAGTCTCTGAAAATGATCTACAATATATGTAAAAGAAAATGTCAGTCTTGTAGAAGTTAGCAGACTCACGACCCACAACCTCTAGTTCATTATTCAACACAGTTTCTGCATACATGCTTAAATTTACACATGCATGTTTTTGTGTGTGCACTCGCACGTGTGGGAGGGGTTTGAGACAGAGACAGAATGACAGAGAATTATATGCCCTATGCTTGCTCTTAGTGAATAGTAACTGCCTGAGTTCCGTTGGCTGGAACTCGTAACCCTAGCCTAATTTTTTTTTGGGGGGGGGGGTGTTGGGCCGCTTTTGAATCATACATCTGGATTGACACTGGCTCGTCTGCTTAGCTTTGCACACAAAACAAAAATAAAACTATGGAATGAAAGTAAATAGTAACTGGCATTCAAAAGTCTCTGAAAATGATCTACAATATATATAAAAGAAAATGTCAGTCTCGTAGAAGTTAGCAGACTCATGACCCATAACATCTAGTTCATTATGCAACACAGTTTCTGCATACCTTCTTAAACTTACGCATGCGTGTGTGTGTGTGTGTGCACTCGCACATGTGGGAGGGCGTTGAGAGAGAGAGAAAGAGAGACAGACAGAATTATATGCCCTATGCTTGCTTATAGTGAATAGTAACTGGCATTACCATAAAGTTGAAGCAACTCTTTTTTATAGCAATGAAATGCCGAAAAAGAAAATTTGATCAAGGTTGGAATAGAATAAGAACCACCTGAAAATCCATTTCCTCATGTAGATATACTAAGCCACGAGCAGCGTCTTGGGCTATTTTCAGCCTCATGGTCCAGGGGAGAGGTGTCTCCGACCGAGGTGATAAATGGTTTTCCACACTTCCGTTAGTCATATATTCATAAACTAAAAGCCGCTGTATTCCTCTCTCATCATCCTCAGCACAGTAGCCCAATAGTTTGACAAGGTTTGGATGCTCAACCACCCCAAGAACATTAACTTCTGTCACCCATTCCTTGTGCCCCTGCCAGACGGAAGGTAAGAGTGTAAGTAAATAACTGAACTAAGGATGCAGGGAAGATCTCTATATTCTGGAGCCATGAAGAACAACCAATTCATGATAATAAACTCAATATACTAGGATGTTTAAAAAGGTACTCTGGTTGACAACAAAAGAAGCATAAACTCATGAAGGATTTAAGCAAACAAACACTAAAAGACACCACGGGTAAATATTGGAGTCTTGCCCAGAGTTACCTGGATTGCGAGTCGCTTTGGTATGTGGTGGTACGGGTATGGGTACGGGGTGCGTTATTTTATGCGGTACGTGGTACGGTAAGGGTAAGCTTAGTTGGTACGCTAACTGGGGCCATGATTCGTTTTGAAATCTTATTTGGTTCATTTATACTATGGTAAGAAATTATATATAAATATGCATCTATACACACCTGGTGAGTTATAATTTATTCATGTTGTAGTTTTCAATATTTTTTTTAATTATGTGTGTATTTCATATTTATTTTACAAGAACCAATTGGATTTAAGATTCAAGGATCCATAACAACATACCATCTAATAATCGTGAACAAGAAAAATAATGGATGCATATTTGTATTACGAGAAAATCAAATCAAAACAATTATAAATTTAACGATCATTAAAACAAAATAATAAAGTACTAGCTAGTAGTTAAGTAGCTTACAACTTGAACAAATAATTAAAATAAAAATCTTTAACATGCCTCAAAATAAAACAACTAAATAGTAAAAACAGATCGTGGTTCACCTATACCGATCCTAGTAACTCTGGTCTTGCCATGGCCAAGCATGTGTTAACTGATAGCCATGCAAATGTATAGGTGACAGCTAATAAGGGGAGAACTTTGACTAGTCTTTGATCTATTTTGACCTAGAAAAAGAACTACTACTGCATGAACTGTTTATTAATTTTTTTTTCGAGTTCTACTCTTCATTGGTAAAACTTGTTAATGGAAGCTTTTGAGTTTCATTGTTAGTAATCACATGGAAGTTTATGACTACAATACAAATGTTTGTTAATAAAGCATGTTAAAAAAAACTATGCTGCATTCATGGAAGCTCAGTCCATGAAATGGAATACTGTTCAACACAATTGAAGGAGGGGCAATGAAACCATCATCTCTCTATCTATCTTCCGATTTTGTTGTTGTCATCAGTCTTTCCTTTTTTATCTTCCTTTTTTTGGCTGCAGAAAGGTACTCCTTGTGTTTCTTTAGTCATCACAGTGCCTGGTCAACCATTTGATATTGTATTTTCTCCTATTCTTAATATTTTTAAATTTTTGACGGCAGGAGTAGGGGAAGTACAGATTATTTTGCCTGCATATTAAAATTCTTTTATGTTTGGACTCTTGTTAACCATATGTTTAAATAAATGCATCACAAGAGCAAAAGTTATTGGCATTTGAGATCCTTCAAGTTCCAACACTTCCAATTCGTGTATGGAACTCTAAAGGTTATACCTTTCTAATTGTTGGATGACAGTCTAGAAGTCACACCCTCTATTCCACATTGTGCAAACACACAACAGTGCTTTAATGCAGTTTATACAAACAGTTTTTTTAAAGGTGAATAATGCTATGTTGTTATTTATGCACGTGTACGATGTAAAATCAAAGCGGAATCCACATCATATATATACTTTATATTGTTTCCCGGATAGCATTTATATTTAATTCTTCAAAAGCTCAAATTTTGGATGGAAACTTGAAAGTCCAGTAGCCAATTCTGGGGATTTAATTATTCAACTAAACCAACTCCAGAACATCTCCCAGCGATGGTCCTTGTAATAAATTGAAGAGAAGTGTTCACAGAGATAACACATACCGTGAGTATCACTACAACCCCATCTTAAATCGTTACCACAAAAAGCAAGCAACATTTCTGAAACTGTCATAATTATCCTAGAACAAGAAGAGCATTAGGAAGGAATCTTGCCTGCAGTCCTCGTTTACCAAGTTGTTTCACAGCGACATCAATATTTATAAGTGGATCTTCAGAACTCTTGATCACACCCTTATACACACACCCGAACCCACCCTCACCAAGCTTGACAGAGCGGCTAAAATTCTTCGTTGCTGCCTTCAGCTCAGAAACTGTAAACACTCTAAGATTGCTGTCCCTTTGAGACAAACTTGCAAATTGAGTCCTCCCCATGGACTCTGTGCTCGTTTCTGAGACATTCTGAGAGTTTAGTTCAGATCCCGATCGCCTAACTTCCTGATCAGTAAATGTCGAATTAAATGACTGAATCGAACTTGACTTTGAGGTCTTTGGCTCACTCTTCTTTTCTCCACTGTAGAATTGGAAACACTTCATATTCACCGACAAGTAACAAGACCCTCACAGAAGATTCTGTCATAGACAAAAGAATCTAAGAACCGTGAATTTTACCAAAATAGCAAGAGCTTCCGAAATCACATAAGTTTAGAAGGACAACCAACTAAAATTTAGTTGCTGCCATAATTAGATTAAGCTTCAATAATGTCAAGAAGACCACAATAGTTATCAAGAAAAATTGAAGCAATTTGAACCTGTCAGTACTCAGAATAAACAGCCACTCAAGGTTCAAGCATAAAAGCAGGTTCATCACTCAAAAAAGATCCAAAAAAAGGGGGTTAATATGTGATCACTCACGTATTCCAATTTCCATATAATGGGGGGCGTGATCTTTTTTTTGTTTTTTGTTTTTTATAAATTTTAGGGGGAGGTGGCCGTGATCAGAAGAAACTAACCCTACACAAAAACCCACTGAAGCACATAAATTCTAGAAGCCAATTGCCATGTATGAGTTGCTGCGATCAAAGTAAAGCAGAGTCAATGAAATCTAGAACCTAACTTTTTTATAAATCAAAATTTACCCCAGAAAACACATTAAACATAGAATACAGAGTATCCATTTTGGCTATCTAATATATGCAAATTTAACAAAATATCTGGTAAGCACTCAAAAAAGAAGGGGGTTGAGATGTACCGACAATTTCACTATACAATTTCCATATAAAGATCTCCGTGATAATAATATGCTAAACCCTACCAAAAAAAAAAACTCAGTAAAGCACATAACTTCATGTAGACTCTTAATTTCACTGCAAATCAAAAATTTCCCCCCAAAAGCACACAATTTCGTCTATGCTCCCAAATTAAGCATCTATGTAACAATTTGAAAAACCCACAAAGAACGCACATTCAAATTCAACTTTACTCTGTGATCATACGCTGTGAATCGACATCTGACAAAACTAACCTTTTAAGCTTCTCAATCTGATTGCAGAGTTAGGTCTATTAACATCCCAGTTTTTGTGGAGTTTTAAGAGGAACCCGGAAGACCCAGAGAGAGAGAGAGAAGACGAAGAATAAGATGACCAAAGATAGAGTCCGAACACGGCAGCTTCTTCAAGTCTGCCTATCAACCATATGGAAAAAACAGCCCCAATGAAAAATAAAAAATAATAAAATATATATATACATATACGCCATGTATATGCGTAACAAATACATCATTAAATTCGAATCCAGGTGTGAAGGCGGCCTGAATCAAAATAGAACGCGTGGACCAGCTTGTACAGGGAATGTCTCTAGTGGACTCTTTCTGTGGTTTTAGAGAGAGGGAGAGAATTTTGAAACCAGAAAACAAGTTTATCCCTGTTTTCCTTTTCATTCCATTAAAAAATATTACTGTTACAGGAAGCTTGGACTCACTTTCCTTCTGTCTGTTTTGGTCGTTGGTTTGGCGGGTGGGTTCGGTAGAGCCTCTGTTTTGCATCCTATCATAACATCAATCTTACATTTATTTTTTTCAGTTTAGTCCGGCATTAATAATATTTTCCATCCTTAAAATATATATATTTTATCCATTTAGTTTATCATGTATTAATTTTATCAATTTTATCTCTAAACTATTTTAGTTATGTTAAATTTTTTTGACATAAATAATCACATGCCCAACACATGATTATTCTATCAAAAATTTAACGATTCATCTATATAAATACTAAAATGGTACGAATTAAATAATTTAATGACTAAATTAATAAATTACAAACTAAACTGAAAAAATAATACTTATTTTAAGAAATAAAAATACTATTCACCATTTAGTATATTATTGAGGTTGTGGATCTGTGTTCCCTTAGCCCCGAAGTAATAGATGAAAGGTTTGAATAACATTATTACGCTAAATAATCGCATAATTCTATTTCGTTTTTTATTATACTTTAGGATAATGTATTCAGTATATTATAATTCTCCACTGTCAGGACCTTCTAGATGTTCGACTGGTCTTTTTCAAGTCTTGCTACGTATGATTGGGTGTGTTTATCCTTTGGCTTTATTAAATGAGTCTTGGTTCATCTTACTTCAATATTCCTCAATCAGTGCAGTATCCTTGGGCAGAGTCAATTGAGGACTATGGGGCATGTGTCCACCTAGAGGTGTCCACCTAGAGGTGTCCATGGCCGGGTTGCTCGNCCTCAATCAGTGCAGTATCCTTGGGCAGAGTCAATTGAGGACTATGGGGCATGTGTCCACCTAGAGGTGTCCACCTAGAGGTGTCCATGGCCGGGTTGCTCGCGAGTTTCATTATTTGGCTTAAAAAAATAAGTCTGAAGTTCGATAGGTTTATCCAAGTTTCATTCTAATATCTTTAAAAAGAATGTTTGAGTTTGTCCCCAAACTCTTTACCCGACTTGAAACTCAGCCTAAGAGTCCATCCGCCAAACCCAACCTGCCCACATTACCCACTCACCTTTTCTTTTGAAAAAAAGTTATATTTTTAAATTATTAAATTTAAAATTTTAAAATAAGTCTTTTAATGTCGGAATTTAAAGTTTTAAAATTTTAGATAATAATATATTATTTTATTTTTCTTATATTAAGTATACAAGTTTTAAAAGATAGAGTAATGCAAATAATATATAAAGGTGTCAACCTAGATGAGATATATTTATTATATTAGATGTAGTTCATTCCTTAATTAAAAATAAAATTATTCATTATTTTATTTTTATCCATTTTAACTATATTTTTGATTCAAAAATATAATTTACACAAATATTATGTTACAAAAATATTCATTATTTTTTAAATAAAGTTGTATATAAAAAATTTCGCGAGTAAGCCCGCCTAGAAATCCCCGCCCACAGGTTCATCCAATAGGCTCGCAGGTTGGGTTGAGAGTAGCTTACCTCTACTCAAAGCCTTACCTGGCCCGCCCGATAACTCACTTGGGTAAGGGCTTGAGTCTACACTACTCAGGCCTAGCTCGAAAAAAATTTTGCGGGCCTAGCCTGCCCGGCCAATAAACACCCCTAGGTCCACCCCCATTTTAAAAAAAAAATTTATTATTTGTGCATATCTCAAATAATTTTAAACATATTTAAGTGTGCTTATTCTATTATTTTTTATTCTATCAATTAGTATAATATCATAGCTAAATAACTATGAATTTTTAGATGTACTTTGAATACTTTACAAATACATTTAGATAAGTTTTTGATACCTTGCACTTATTTTTTAAGCTATAGAAATTATGATAATTAAGTTGTATAGCTGAATGAATGATCGGAGACTAATAATTTCATCGGTTAAATGGAAAAATACCATCTTTTTTACTGTTACCCTCATTTGTTGTGAAGAATTGTGATTAGCTTCTTTTTTTATTTATTTATTTATATACATTATATTTACTGACATTTGACACTTTTGTATTTTATGAGCTATTATGTTTCAAATACAATATAATAAATTTGAATATATTATTTTATTTTTATTAATTGAGAATTTTTTTTTTTAAAGTTATTGAGTAAAGTGTCCACCCTAAGCAGAATTTTTGACCCTATCCCCCATAGTATCTCCATTTGACTTAATATTATTGTTTCCCGTTTCTTGCCAATTTGGTAAAAATTTTATTTAATATTACATTTCAGNGATAGTATCTCCATTTGACTTAATATTATTGTTTCCCGTTTCTTGCCAATTTGGTAAAAATTTTATTGAATATTATAGTTCAAATGTTTAATTTTCAACTTATAAAAGTACACTAATGATAAAAAATTAATCAAATATTCATTTACTTTAATTCAATAATAAAAAATTCATCCCAAAAATTATTTTCTCGTTTAAAAATATCATCTTATTTGCACGACCCCTAATATCAAGCAATTTAATCAATACATCACCTGAGTTGGCTCCAGTACCGAAAGTATATTTTGGTACCATACCGCCATTTACCACATATGTGGTCACTTTTACCACATTTGTGGGTTCTTTTACCACTATTGTGATAACTTAACAAATGATAAAAATAATTATCACAATAATGATAAAAATATTCACAAATATGAAAAAAATCACTCATAAAATGTAATAAAAATACTCACAAATGTGATAAATTTTTTTATATCAAACAAAATTGGTAACATAATAATAATAAAATCACCCACAAAAGTGATAAATTTTTTTATTATAAAAACAAGTATAAAAACAAGAATTAAAGTGACAAGAGTTGGAGGTATGGTACCAAAATTATTTCTTCGGTGTGTTAGTCAAATCCAACATCAACGTATTCCTCAATTCCAAACAACCTTATCAATCTATATTTATCTTTCTTTTCTCTCACTTTATTTTAATTTTAAATTACATAATTAAAAACATTAAATTGTTATTTAAAATATAAATATTCGATTTTTGATATTATATAATGCCTTCATACATGAGATTATNTCTCTCTCTCTCTCATGTACATTCACTACTAAGGGAAAAACAAATGGTCTCCCGTCGTTACTCTCTTCACCTCTCTCTCTCTCTCTCACACACACACACACGCGCATTCACTACTTAAGAAAAAAAATGAACAGACACTCCCCCCCTTCTCCCTCTCTCTTTTCCATGTGCATGAGAACCCCAATAACCCCATATCTCTGTACAGGCCCTTCTTATGAACTCCCACCTCCTTCTTCCTTTTCTCTACTATGGTATTTAATCGCTTCTCTAAAGAAAGGTATGACATGTTATTCCATCAATTCTTTTCATACTAATGAAGTCCTCCTTTCTCTGCTATGGTATCAGATCGTTCCTTAGGTTTTTGAATTTTGTTCGGTATTCTGTATTTCATATTCATTTGGTATTGTGTATTTTAGATTACTTGAAGGAATTGGAAACGACAATTCTTCAGTTATTTTTATTTTCCTAAAGCAGAAAGTTACAATTTTGTTCGCTAGACAGGAGTAGTTTGGCATGTAGGTAATTAACAGCACCTTTTCTATCTAAACTTGGACTGACAAAGGTACATAGATTGCATAACTTTTTTATTCCATTATTATTGTTTGAATCTTACAGACAAATTTAGGTCCTCGTCGACAAATTGACACAAAATTCATTAGAAGAGACTCTCAGAATCAAACTCAAGAAAGCTTGTTTTTTATGGCCGTATGTGCAGTTTATGTGACTATAATTTTGGTGTCCTCTGCTATTTTTTTAGTGTCCAGTTGTACCGGACACTCTAGCTAATTCGTTAGAGTACTTCCTTCATAATGAAGCTCGGGAGATTGAGTTTGAGATTGCAAGATGGAGATCCCCGTTCATTCTCTAATCTCAGAAAATGTCAATTTGCTGCGTTCCATGAATTTTAAGATTGGGTGTTTTGTGCTTGACAATTTGCTTCTTTGGACATCTTTGTTGGGTTCTATTTTCTATCATGTTGATGATGATTCTTGTAACCACAAAATTTTGTGATAATATTAACACCAAAGTAATGTTAAAATTACAATTGTTGATGATTTGACTTAATTTAATAAAGTGGTATTGCCTCTGTTCGACGTGATTTTCATGTGCACTATCCTCTGATTCTCAATAGATTTAATGATGACAAGGGCTGATCGGCGTGTTTCTTGATATTTGATTTGGTATTGACTTTTGTAAATTTGTTAAAGAAAAAGGCTTGACTAGCGTGTTCCTCAATCTTCGATTTGGTAATTCTTTGATAAATTTGTTGAAGACAAGAGTCGGATTGACATGGTTCTCGTTCTTTAATCTTTGATTTGGTGGATTTGTTGAAGACGAAAATCAGATTGACATGAATCTCGTTCTTCAATATTTGATTTGGTTTGTTGGAGCTTCTCACCGTTCTTTATATTGAATGACTTAAATCTCTTGAAAAAGAACCTTGATAGTTTGTTATTCTCCTCTTAAGATGGATTTTCAAGACTTAAGACTTCGGTTAGGGGTAGACTCCGGTAGAGCTTCACTGATGATCTTCTTTTTTCCCCCTGAGATAGACTCGGGCAGAACTTCTTTAATCTTCCCTCCTCCTTGACTTCTCTTCTTAGCTTCTCCCAAACCTCTATTTATAGTGTTAGGAATACTTATCCATACAAGGGTATTTTACCTA